TAGGCAAGACGAGATGTCCTAATGGGCTTTGTGACCAGAAATAGTAACTTGGAAAGCAGAACCTGGACGCACAGGTTATGTGCGATATAGCCCACATATGATGTAATTTTAACATCTTCACCCCAGTGATTTGACAAGAATTCACACCTTCGGCCATGTAACTTGTGTCCTGTACTTCCAGGCATCACTGGAATTGTAATAAGAACAGAGCGGTTTCACAATCTTTTACACCTCCCATCCTGTTCTTGGACAATCAATATTTGTCCTGACACATTTCATTGTGACTGGATTTAGAAGATTGAGTTAAGCATGTCATTATAAATAGTGGGGTAGGTTCCTGGCAATCATTAGAGCTGAGGAAGCTACTAGGATGAGTTATGATATGTTTAATGTTACAGAGCAAGACTATTACTAGTGATACCATGGCCTTCATAAAATCGTTGCTAGGGAACAAAGAAGCCAGACAGAAACTAAAGTGAAGGTTAAAAATAGTTTATCGAGTTTATTGAAAATAACCAAAATGGCAAGAAACAATGGAAGTCCAGGACGTTGTCGATGCCAAGCTAGAGGTCAGATGCCAAAGCGGATAGTCAACCGAACCAGGTCAGGGAACACTGAGCAGAATGAACGGAAACAATCGCTGCAATTAGGAACCAGTAGATTAGTTGGCCAGAGCCAGGGTCATACACGGAGACCAGGAACAACAGCAGAGCACTTGGTAGATCAGAATACACGCAAGGGCGGAGACTGAATGGATAAGCTGATGGTTAAATGGTGAACTGGTGTTTGCATCATCACTCTGAGACAGGAATTTGCCGAAAATTTTACAAAAGTTGTAGAATGATGATGTTTATGGGTTTGGTTATAAGAGGGCACCAGAGAGGAACAAACAGTGTCAGACACAATGTGCACAAGGCATGCTGCAAGAAACTGGAGGAAGAAGGTTAAGAAGTGTTTATTATTTACTCATGTAAAAGTGTTTATTAAGATAGCCAAGTGACATACAAAACAGATCAGCAATAAATATGCAATGAAACTAAACAAAAATCACAATACAGCTAATGCAAATGAGAGCAGGTGGCCACTGGAACCACATGCTGCCAGTCACTGACCCAAGTAAAGCTAAAAGTAAAGAAAACCTGATCTGAACTTTAAGCTTGCCTAATGTAACAAAAGTGCTCATCTACAACAATTTGTGGTGTCTCCAAGTTCCTGTCTTAGCTTAGTTTCATTTCAATGTTGACAGTTCTTGTGTACTGCCCAGGCATAGGTTCCACTAGACCAGTGGTTCTCAACCTGTGTAACCACAGGTTGGTCATTAAGTCATGACCCAAGTCTGCAATGTCTGCACTGCAATGGAACACACGGCATTAGGGTACCGCACGTTCCAGTGCAGGCGTACGAACTGTGGGTGGGAGGTTCATTTGGGGTGCAAATGAATGCCAACGCAACACATTTCCTACACCACAATTCACTGTAGGTGCGATTGTTTGGCATAGTGCATTAATTGCACTGTACTAATGTAAACGGGCCCTCAAAAACACTGACATACATACAAAACCACAGACACAATCTCACACTCATTCTCACACACACCTACACACTTCAAAAATGTTTTTTTAATTAATTTTTTTAGGTCCATCCAGTCTCCCTACCTTATGAGAACTGGAGTGGATCCTCAGCCTGGGGTCCAGCGCAGGCTACTGTGATGTGACGGAGCTCCATCCATATCTGCATTGCATGTACAGTTCCCTTGCACGCCCTGTAGAGGTGCTGGGAGCTAGAATGTGATGTCACACCGGTCCAGGCACCTCTATAGGACACGTGAGGGAGCTGTAAGCAATGCATCTAGCTCCCTCACGGCTATAGCCCCATCCAATCCCACCTCAAGCTGACACTCGGCGGTGGGCAGCATAGTATGAATGGCAGTTCTGACAGTTCTGCGCTAGGGGGAGGCAGAGGAGCCTCTCACCTAGAAAAGTGGAAGGCATGCGGTGACCCACTGAACACTTTTGGGTCACGAAGGCACTAGAGCATGGGGAGCAATGCGAGGAACAATACAAATACTTGCTGGCACCACAATACACTGTTGGCTTTGGCACTTTGTAGACTGGGTCAGGCTCACCTTAGCTGGAAGCAGCTGTGAATATACTACAAGGTACTTCCAAGTCTCTGCACAACTTTTATTTCAGACTAAGATTGCCTGGCTTGCAAAAGTTTGTAGATTTGAACCTTTCTTGTGTGCTAGCCCTACAGACTATGATGTTTATTTCAGTTATGACTCATAACCTATGACTGTTGTTGGGTATAGGTTGGCAAAGAACTGGACACATATGAGAAGCCAAATTGCAGACGGTCCCTAAGAAACAGCTGCTCTTTATTGAGAGTAGGGTTGCACAGATAACAAGTACAGTACTCGGTACAAGTACGAGTACAAGTACAGATACTTTTGAGCGCCAAGACTAGACTAGAGAAAAATTCAAAAGTTAGGAGGCAGCTGTCATGTGTAAGGAGCACACGGAGCTCACGGGATTTGTACATCCCTGTTATAATGTATGATTTTGTTTTCATAAATATAAATAAAGGGATGCATAGATACCAGTTTTGCGAGTACGAGTACTGGCACTTGCCGAGTACTTACAAGTACGAGTACTGATACATTTTTGTTTATGGTCATGTGACAGTTTTTCTAAAACAATACAGACTAATGATTTCAGGACAGTGGTGGAACTCCAGAGCCAGGTCCCAGCTGCAACCCCTGCAACCCTGGTAGTTGAAAATGCCAAGTGACGGCACTGGTACTCGAAAAGTATCTGTGCATCTCTAATTGATAGCAATGAAATACAGTCCCACTAGCTCCCTCAGTATGTGTGTGTCAACCTAGTATGATCTCACTGGCTTCTAAAATGTACATTCATTTGTCCTCCTGTAAATCAACGATTAAGATTAGGATTGCGTTATCTAAAAAAGTAGCTCCAAGTTTTCATTACCAATCGAAGACTTGTGTTTGCTTTCAGGGCGAGTTGTCAATGTTTCCAGCATGATGAGCCATCTGTCTCTTAAAAAGTGCAGCCCTGAACTGCAAGAAAAATTCCGCAGTGACACCATCACCGAGGAAGAGTTGGTTAAACTCATGGAGAAGTTTGTGGAAGATGCCAAGAAGGGAATCCACAAAGACCAAGGATGGCCGGAAAATGCTTACGGGTTGTCTAAAATTGGACTGACTGTGTTATCCAGGATCCAAGCTCGAGAGCTAAAAGAGACCCGAAAAGGAGAGGGCATCATTCTGAATGCTTGCTGCCCGGGCTGGGTGAGGACTGATATGGCTGGTCCCAATGCCCCCAAGTCTCCAGACCAGGGAGCTGAGACCCCGACCTATCTTGCCCTACTACCACCTGATTCAGATTCACCATATGGTGAGCTGGTCAGTGAGAAGAAAATTGTAACTTGGTGACAATGATGGACAGTCCTAGAGTAACCTGGTAAAACTAGATTTCATTATAGTAGCGTAAAATGGAAATGTGTTGGGTTTCTGCCGTCATATAGAGGTTAGAAGATGACATAGGATGAGGTGAGATTTGTAGAATCTACTTAGCTTTTGCGAAGATTGATTAAACCTTTTTTTATCTGCAATAAACATTGATGTAGTATTGTAAGTTCTGACCATTTTTCGATATAAGAAAGAAGATACGTATTATAAATCCGGTGCATTTTACAGCATTTTAATGTGTACTGCTGCACAAATGTATTCCTTCCTTCCTAGATGTATAAAAAACGATATACTAAGACACATTCCAACCATGAATATGCACGTCTGCACATAGTTTAACCCCTTGCTGCCTGGAGCAATTTCTTACATTTGCCCACACATGATTAAATCAGAATTTTTGGCTAGAAAACATCTTCAGACCCCCAAACAATTATATATTTTCCACAAGCAGAGGGCCTGTAGAATAAAAAGATGCTAGTTGCAATCCTTTTCACAGCTGAGTAAATAGATACCAAACATGTCCAGCCTTAAAATGGTGTGCGTCAAAAAACGACAATAACCGAAATTTCCCATAGGCGACGCTTTAAACGCTTTTACGGCTCATCAGTTTAGTGCTAACAGTGATTGATGGGCCTAGAATTATTGCTTTCACTCCGACGCTCATGACGATATGTAACATGTGTGGCACAAGTTTTGTTTTGCACATAGGCGCATCGCACGCATGTTTGCGTTGTATGTGCGTGCACCTGGGGGGACAAAGGACTTGAAAAAAAAGTTTTTTGCATTTTACATTTTTTTTTATGTTACTTTAATTTTTAATATCATGTTTGCGTTGTATGTGCGTGCACCTGGGGGGACAAAGGACTTGAAAAAAAAGTTTTTTGCATTTTACATTTTTTTTTATGTTACTTTAATTTTTAATATTTTTTTTACACTCAGCTTTATTGCTATTGTCACTGGCTTCTAAAATGTACATTCATTTGTCCTCCTGTAAATCAACGATTAAGATTAGGATTGCGTTATCTAAAAAAGTAGCTCCAAGTTTTCATTACCAATCGAAGACTTGTGTTTGCTTTCAGGGCGAGTTGTCAATGTTTCCAGCATGATGAGCCATCTGTCTCTTAAAAAGTGCAGCCCTGAACTGCAAGAAAAATTCCGCAGTGACACCATCACCGAGGAAGAGTTGGTTAAACTCATGGAGAAGTTTGTGGAAGATGCCAAGAAGGGAATCCACAAAGACCAAGGATGGCCGGAAAATGCTTACGGGTTGTCTAAAATTGGACTGACTGTGTTATCCAGGATCCAAGCTCGAGAGCTAAAAGAGACCCGAAAAGGAGAGGGCATCATTCTGAATGCTTGCTGCCCGGGCTGGGTGAGGACTGATATGGCTGGTCCCAATGCCCCCAAGTCTCCAGACCAGGGAGCTGAGACCCCGACCTATCTTGCCCTACTACCACCTGATTCAGATTCACCATATGGTGAGCTGGTCAGTGAGAAGAAAATTGTAACTTGGTGACAATGATGGACAGTCCTAGAGTAACCTGGTAAAACTAGATTTCATTATAGTAGCGTAAAATGGAAATGTGTTGGGTTTCTGCCGTCATATAGAGGTTAGAAGATGACATAGGATGAGGTGAGATTTGTAGAATCTACTTAGCTTTTGCGAAGATTGATTAAACCTTTTTTTATCTGCAATAAACATTGATGTAGTATTGTAAGTTCTGACCATTTTTCGATATAAGAAAGAAGATACGTATTATAAATCCGGTGCATTTTACAGCATTTTAATGTGTACTGCTGCACAAATGTATTCCTTCCTTCCTAGATGTATAAAAAACGATATACTAAGACACATTCCAACCATGAATATGCACGTCTGCACATAGTTTAACCCCTTGCTGCCTGGAGCAATTTCTTACATTTGCCCACACATGATTAAATCAGAATTTTTGGCTAGAAAACATCTTCAGACCCCCAAACAATTATATATTTTCCACAAGCAGAGGGCCTGTAGAATAAAAAGATGCTAGTTGCAATCCTTTTCACAGCTGAGTAAATAGATACCAAACATGTCCAGCCTTAAAATGGTGTGCGTCAAAAAACGACAATAACCGAAATTTCCCATAGGCGACGCTTTAAACGCTTTTACGGCTCATCAGTTTAGTGCTAACAGTGATTGATGGGCCTAGAATTATTGCTTTCACTCCGACGCTCATGACGATATGTAACATGTGTGGCACAAGTTTTGTTTTGCACATAGGCGCATCGCACGCATGTTTGCGTTGTATGTGCGTGCACCTGGGGGGACAAAGGACTTGAAAAAAAAGTTTTTTGCATTTTACATTTTTTTTTATGTTACTTTAATTTTTAATATTTTTTTTACACTCAGCTTTATTGCTATTGCATAGGGGACTAACAAGCCCCCTATGTAATAGCATATATAATGTGACAGGTCCTCTTTATGGAGACCCCTAATGTCACCTAGGGATCCCAAAGAAGCTGATGAAGCAGAGATCTGCTTCACCAGCTTCTTCTTCTGGCTCTAGGAGCCAGAGAATGTGCCCAGTGACACCGTAAGTGATGTACAGATTTTCCTCGCTTACCGACTTACCTGTTTTGCGACCACTCGCACTTACGACGGACCACCGATCGACCTCCGACCTTGCGTGTCAGCGGAAGTGGTGTCCTCCGATCTTCACTGCGGGTCCCGGTAAGTATTTTCATTGCCCGATATACAGTGCACTGTTCGGTACCGTACATCGGCAACGCTATACAGTACTGTACTAATGCAGTACAGTACTGTATAGAGTTCCTCACTTAACGACCAATCCGTTTAGCGACCTGGTCGTAGGAACGCAACTCGGTCGTTAAGTGAGGAATACCTGTAATGCAAATCATTTCCGGGTCCAGTGATCGGAGGAGAGCTTCGCGGCTGGAAGCCGCTGATCTCTCCTCTGATTTATCGGGGAGACCCTCCACGCCGGTCGCAGGCTCACACAGGGGACAGTGGAGCCGGGGAAACCAGCGGCTGCAGTGGAGGGAGGGGGACATGGTGCCACACCGTGCAAGCGATCCGGTGCCTGTATACATGCCGGATCGCTTGTATTTAAGCAGCTGTGTTCTTGGTATAACCACTTCCTGCGGAGGACATACACGTACGTTAACCCGCGGGAAGTGGTTAAGAACACAAGTGTAAATTAATCTTTAAAGTTCTTTAGCTGATAAAGTTAACTTTTCCTACACAAACTACATAAAGTGGCTTCATAAACACAGTGCTGGCTTCCTCATGTAACATTCATTCTCCTTCACAGCTCCCCAAGAGCCCAGAAACACGGGGGAGCTTTAATATGCAAAGGCAGATTGTGGAAAGTCAAGAACTGGCCAATTTCCTCCAAAGCCCTTTGACTCATTATCTATCACAAAGGCCATGTATATAAAAATGTATGTAAGGCCGAACATTTATTTTATTGTGGATAGATTAGTGGATGAGTAAAAACCCCATATCAGTTTATTTTTGTTGTCTGTGTCCCTTTGGAGAGACTTCCTTCAGTTTGTCACACTTTTGTTTGCCTGAAGAAGGGACCACACGGTCTCGAAACATCGCTAAGCAATGTGACACTTTGATGGCCATTAAAGAAGATTGACTGCACAAGTTTTTGGAGTGCGAGTGACTTTCTAGCAGTTACCAGTCAGGAGTGCGATGGGATCCATTATGTTCCTTCACTTTCTGTCTCATAGATGCAGCAAGAAGTGAGAGATTGCAAGCTCTCATGGACAGCGCCCTCCTAACCAGTGGCGTCACCCGGGGGGTGCAGCATTGGTGACACCATTGGAGGGGTTACACCAATACGACTGACAGTCATGTTGGTATCCCCCCCTCTGAAAAGTCGGGCACTCGGTCATGGACCGAGAGCCCGACAGTTGCTCGAGAGAGAGAGGAGGGGACCCGGCGGCATACCTCATCCTGAGGGGTGAATGTCCCCTCCTCTCTCTGCCGGCGTTCATCACCAAGATGGCCGTCGGCAGGTTACAGCAGTATAGCGCGTGACATCACACATGTACGGGGTTACGTCACTGCGGGGTGTCACCCGGTACCCGCCTCTGCTCCTAACCATCTTGTCTTGATTTGTATTGTAACTGTATTGTCTTCCTTATATTGTAAATCGCTGCGCACACTGTTGGCGCTATATCAATGCTGTATAATAATAATATAATAATGAATATAATAATCAAGTGTATTGCCCTCTTAGACAGATGTCCCCACTGGAAGTGTCGCAGCCTCCTCCATCTCTAGAATTGGTGACACCAGTAATACTTTGGATTTTCCATCATATTCCCATCAATACAATCAAAGGTAAAACAGTCTAAAGTTCTAGGGGGCTAAAATAAAAAAGATATTCTCACCCGAACCTCGGTCCCATCTGGTTCCTTGATGGGTCCCTGCAGCCTCTTGTCCTCCGGGCTCCGGTGGTCCATTGACCCGTAAGTCATCACTGCTAATACATTCCGCAGAGGGGAGAGAGGTGAGCGGTCTCTGCCACAGGATCGAGACTCAGGTGAGTATTTATATCCCAGTCTACTAAACATGATCGTAATGGGTATATAAAGTATATCATATATGACAAGCTTGCATGCTCAGCTTGTGCTGCTCTCCAGCAGGTGACCCTGGACTTCATTTTAAAATGGTCTTCATATTCTCTGACATTCAATATGAATTATTGTTTACCAAAAAGAATGTTCATATAAGGCCTTGTTCACACCAAGCGCGGAGCAGGTGCAGAGCAGAGCAGTTACAGACCGGATCAAAACTGCGTCCAATGTATTCCTATGGTATTTTTAGCTCCAGTTCACATCGCAGCGTTCAGTTCCAGAGCAGGTAAAAAAAAACTGCAGCAAGCCCTATTTTACCTGCTCTGGACCTGCACTGGAACGCATCAAAAATGCCTGGAACGCACTGAAAGCCCATTTTAAACAAAAAAAAAACCAACATTTTTTAAAACTATAAACGACATCAAAAACGCAGCAAATACGCGGCACAACCCACTGCACTGCGTGTGCAGAAACTCATGCAGATCTGCTCTGCATTTTGTGTGAACAAGGCCTTAATATATTCACTGTACAAGGAAGCAGATCAAAGGGGAAAAAGATCGTTTCTCAAGATAGAAGTATAAAACAGCTTAGTCATGCTGACAACCAGCAACAAGTGCGATCGCCCAGAGCAGTCCCTGCGGGACGACGGAGTATGAGAGAGAAGGCAACACTTGTCTGTACACAATGAGACATGGCGGTAAACAGGAAACATCCGTATTCAATGGAGTGCATACTGGTATGAGGAAAGGTCCCTGGTTTTCAGTATGACAAATATACCATAAAATCTTTCTTTGTCTGTAAGACAGATTCAATACTATCAGGTTATTCACAGAAGGGTGAAGAGTTTGGAGAAGGCCGGAGAAGTGAACAATCTAGGACAACATAGCTGATCTGGAAACATTCTCCAATTCATCTCACTTTCCAGTTCACCTATGTTGTCCTAGATTGGTCACTTCTCCTCCCTTCTCCAAACTCTTCACCCTTCTGTGAATAACCCTGTATGACTTTTAGATGTTTAGTGGACATGAGAAGTTGAGTAGTGCACATAGCCAATAAGAACAGATGCCCAGAAGCACTTCCAAAATGCAAGGGAGGTGATACCATGTATTGTGCATGAAGACATAACAACATATACTGAGAATGACACCCGGCTTACAGGACAAGAGATCCCTTACTGTGCAGAGTCCATACATACAGAAAAAGAATAGATACTGAGAATTACACCCGGCATACAGGACAAGAGAAGTGTTACTGTGCAGAGTCCATACATACAGAATAAGTACATATACTGAGAATTGCATACAGGACAATAGAAGTGTTACTGTGCAGAGTCCATACATACAGAAAAAGAATAGATACTGAGAATTACACCCGGCATACAGGACAAGAGAAGTGTTACTGTGCAGAGTCCATACATACAGAATAAGTACAGATACTAAGAATTACACCCAGCATACAGGACAAGAGAAGTGTTACTGTGCAGAGTCCATACATATAGAATAAGTACAGATACTAAGAATTACACCCAGCATACAGGACAAGAGAAGTGTTACGGTGCAGAGTCCATACATATAGAATAAGTACAGATACTAAGAATTACACCCAGCATACAGGACAAGAGAAGTGTTACGGTGCAGAGTCCATACATATAGAATAAGTACAGATACTAAGAATTACACCCAGCATACAGGACAAGAGAAGTGTTACGGTGCAGAGTCCATACATATAGAATAAGAAGAGATACTGAGAATTACACCCATCATACAGGCAAGAGAAGTGTTTCTGTGCAGGGTCCATACATATAGAATAAGAACAGATACTGAGAATTACACCCGGCATACAGGACAAGAGAAGTGTTGCTGTGCAGGGTCCATACATATAGAATAAGAAGAGATACTGAGAATTACACCCGGCATACAGGACAAGAGAAGTGTTGCTGTGCAGAGTCCATACA